TATAACCATGGACCTATGCAGTGTCCATGTTGCACTGAGTAAAATTGAGAACTTACCTTTCTAAATTTAATACAGAAGGGCAGGTGGTATAGCTTAGCAGACCAAATGCTTGCTTAGGTATGTGCAGGGGCCAGGGTTCCATCCCTGGCACTGCGTGCCGTGCCACCCCTGCCTTCATGCACACTGAGCTGGCCATGGAGTCTGGGCACGGTGGTACATGCCTGTAATCCCAGCACTAGGGAGGCAGAAATCAGGAGAATCACTGCAAGTCCGAGCTGCATAGTGAGACCCTGCACAAAAAACAAAAAATAAATAGATAAATAAAACCTAAATGTAATACATAACATTTGCCACAATTGACATAATATTAAGTGATGGTAGTGATAGAACAAAGAAAACTGATTTGATTTGAAAAGTCCATGAAGCATGTTCACATTATTGCTAAGACAAAAGAGTATTGCCTTTATTTTTCAATTATTATTTTATTGAGATAAAACATTTTTATGGACACAGTGGAAAATTTAATAAATGCATACAATGTATAATGATCAAATTAAGGTAATAAGTGTTTCCATCTCAGACATTTATCATTTGTATGTTGAGAACTTCTGTGCTTTTGTTATTATGTTGAAATATTTCAGAGATCACCCAAGTTCTCATAGAAGACACTATAAATTCTACAGTTACAATTCTTTTATTTAATCATTTCTTGCAAATAATAATGTGTAAAATTAGCTGCCTTTTGTTTTATCACAGCTGGATCCTGATTAATAAGTTCAACATTTATAATTGAAAACTCAGAAGTATGCTTTATTTTTCAAATTTGCAAAGGCAAGACCTTGACCAGAGGGAAAACATGCAACTCACTGCTCCCCACTTCTGTCTCTCTCAGACAGAAGCTTCCTTCCCCACAATAAATATTCTGCTCTTAACCTCAAAAAAAAAAAAAAAATAACAAAAGCATTTGTCTGCTAGGTTAGTCTACTAGTGCAGCTTTTATTGGTGAAGCTTGTGGTGAGGCCCTGAAAAACAAGCAGTGTCCGCCGTGTTCACATTGTGGAGTTCAGAGTACAAATGCTGCAGAGTGGATTCAGGGAGACAGATGCTGGCTCCTCTCTCCCACGATAATTGTGGCATGGCTTGGCCTGCTGCTCTGATCCCAAATCCCTGCCATCTCCAAGTCTGAGGCAGCTAGCTACTCACACTCTGCTTCTCTCCTTGGAAGAACTCCAGAGTTCACCAAGAACGCCAGAAAGAGTCTGAAAGCGGGGAAAGTTCTGAATGAATAGTAGCACTGCATGAGAGGCCATCCCATTTGTTCTTACCCTCCACCCTTGCAACTGTGAGCAGCTGAGTGATAGCCAGCAAGTACTAGACATGCCCCAAACCTTGTGCAGGCCAAGCCTTACAGCAGGTCCTGGCAATCTTCCAAGCCCCTTTCCCCTCTATCACTGCATAACACTGAATGTATCAAAAGCCCTCAAATGAGTGAGTTGGGTAATATATGTTATCTATCAATGAAGCTGTTAGATGGAGAGGTGCAGGAAGGTGAGAAGGGAGAGAAGGAGGAGACTGAGGAAAGGGAAAGGAATAAAGAGGGGCAGTACACTTCTGAATCAGAGGTATTTTTGTTCCCTTTATTTCCTAGTGCATTCAGAAACATGCTGAATGCCTGATACAAAGACCTGCTTTACATAAACAACCTTTGCTGGGTGAAAAATGACTTAATCCCTGTATTAGTTGATTTTGATTATCTTTCTGCAAAGCACATCTGCCTGCTCCACCATCTGATGCACTTGCCCCATCCTCTAAGACCTTCCTCTCCCACAGCCCCATCCCATTGCTTCTACACAGTGTTCCTCCCCTGAGGCACCTGAATGCAGGCCTTTCACACTCAGAGGACACCAAAGACTGGGAACAAAGAAAAGAAGCAATGAAGCAGCACTGGAAGCCAGTGCACCAGCTCAGAAAGGTAAAGACCCCAGACAGAGGCAGTCTTTTCTGGGAACTGGGATAGAAATCACTGAACACACGAGGAATGATGATAGGTGTGCTACTGTAGACTGGGACTAGTTCCAGGGAGAAGGAAAGGAGGGGGAGGTCTCCCAGAGAGGAGACACAACAGTTTTTTCCCAGACAGGCAGGCCTGAAAGGAACCGCATGAGGAATGCTATGGGCCTTTTCTGTGGAGCTTGAGGAGAAAAGAGCACCTAGCCCTACTCGTTGCTGGAGCCAAACCAGTGTGGAAGGCATGGGGAAGCCCCATGAGGTTCAGAACACAGCTCTGCTTCACCTGGGTCAGGCTCTGGAAAGAGAATAGCAGGTGCACAGATGCACATTTTCCTGCAAGGGGCGCAAGAGGCACAGCACTATTTTAAGTGAAAGTAATGAAACTGTTTTGGGATTTCTGACTTTTTGTATAACTACTTAGTCATCCACTAGGCAGTAAGTATGCACCTTTTTTGTTTTGCTTATTCTATTTTATTTTTCTTGTTAGTAATTGAAGTGAGAGTTACATAGCATAAAATTAACTATATTCAAAATTTTTTTT